AGCGAGGAGGGCTTCCTAGAAAAGTCAATCTTGACTTTCGACCAACAGCGCCATCTAGTATCAAACAGAAGAATTAAGCTTTCTAGAAGCCTCACACTCGAACTTTCTGCGTCTGATCGGTCGACGCCCGTATCTACTGGCATATTCAGGATGTTTCGGTGTAAAAGTGTATTTAAGGCCGCTGCATGCCGAGATCGGAGCAGTATCGAATTTGGCGAGACAAGCGAAGCTTCGGAGCGAAATAAAGTGAATCAGTGTGATTAATTATTAGTGTTTTAAGTCTTAATTGTCGTTTGGTAATAAAAAGTGTAAATTTTGGTAATTCAATGGGAAGTTTTTATTGTCACGAACCTCAAGCTCGTAACAATATATTTGAAGGTCATCTGCATACAAGTAGTAGAGAGAAGAAATTTTTAATTTAATCGTATTATACACATAATCCACCTATTCGTAATTGGATGCGGTGGCCCATAGAAAACTACATTTATCTATCTTTGTCAAAATTCGTGGTCCCCGTTGAGGAATAAGATTATTTGCAGTAAAAAGGGACTTTTAGTCTTCTATACTCATCATATGAAGCACAGCTGGATTAAGCTGCTATTTCACACTGGTATTCTATGAGAGATTGGTTCTTCTTCGGTAGTGTTACAACTATATTATAGCTGCAGTGTGGCTCTACCATAAATGACTTTTTTAAAGTTTCTTTAAAGTCCGTTAAACAGTGCAAAATATTTATGAAAAAGCAATTTATAATACAAAATACTTGTATCATCAACTTGTGAACGGATTAAAGTTGCATAATTACACTCAAACCGTAACTCCACGTGTACGTGGCCCGCCGGCTAACAGTGGATGCTCTAGAGACTGACATGGAGTTTTAGATGCCGGTGATGTGCAGATGATTTATCAGCGTGAAATTAATGACATAGTGTCATTAATTTCACGCTGTCAAATCATCAACTCGGCCACCAAGCGTAATGAGTATTAGCAAACACTTTAATTTATTTATAATTAATTTATATTTCTTATCAACTTGACGTTATAAATAATTTCCTCGAACATGCTTTTCATTATGAGTTTAGATCACTGACCTCTATATATACAAGTACGCTGGACTGGCTATACACCGTGACATGATGAAGCGATTGGATTTCCGCTATTTTGGCACTGACAGCAGAATTGCACGTCCACGGAACTAATAATAGGGATAAGACAGTGTACCAAATTATATCGATAAAAATTCCGTACCCTAACTATACCTAAATAAATAGAACAGACTCTATCGATAGATGGACTCTACCCTTAACGTTCATTCTATTTATGTATTATATTAATATAATACAATTATCATTAATCATCATTAAAACCCTTCACAAGATCACTGCTGACCATAGGCCTCCCCCAAGGAATGCCACAAAGCACGGTCCTGAGCTACCTACATCCATCAGCTTTCTGCATGTCTTACCAGGTTTTGACTCCATCTAGTAGGGGAACGTCTTACATTTCATCTGCCGGTACGAGGCTGCCACTCGAGAACCTTTTTTACCCATCGGTATTCGGTTCTTTGAGCTATATGGCCGGTCAATTGCCACTTCAGCTTACAAATCCATTGGTCGATGTCGGTCACTCTGATTCTGCTTCAGATATTCCTAAGTTTGAACCCCTGAGCATAGCGCTCTTAATAGCTCGCTGAGGGACTTCGAGCTTCCTCATACGGCCAGCAGTGAAAGAACTCGTCTCAGATCCATAGGTCATCACTGGCAACACAGACTGGTTGTACAATCTAGTTTTGAGGTATTCCTGATGAGAAGATGTGTTGTAATCTCCCGAACGCTGCCCAGCCGAGTTGAATCTGTCGATTGACCTGTCAGTCGACGTTGAACTTACCTAGTCGGGCTATTTGTCCTAAGTAAAAATACTCGTCAACAACTTCAGCTAAGTGCTCCCAAAAACCACCGGCACAGGTATGATATGGACATTAAACATGATCTTTGTTTCTTCCATGTTCATCTTAAGACCTATCCGTTGGGAGACACCAATGAGGTCATTGAGCATAATGCTAAGGTCCTCCAGCGATTCTGCCATAAGGACTATATCGTCGGCAAATCGAAGGTGAGTGATGTACTCGCCATTGATGTAAATACCGTATCCTTTCTAGTCCAGTAGCTTGAAAACGTCTTCCAACGCAGCGGTAAAGAGTTTCGGGGATATAACATCATCCTGTCTTACACCTCTCGGCAGTTGGATTAGTTTTGTACTCTGGTTCTGTATTTGGATAGCCATCGTAGCCCTTAGACCATTTAACTAAAAAATTATTAAGATTAAATTATCTACACAAAATAAAACTAAAAACATAATTTCTAACATAATTTATTATCAATCGTTCATTTAGTTCTAGTATTTTAAGGAAAAACAAATCAGCTGCTATAATAACGCTTATTCTAATCAACTACAGGTCTGTCTATAGACAATAAAATATTTTCTATTATATAAAAATTTATGTTTGTTCGTACTTTATACGATGCCATACCCTTCATGAGATTGTGGTAAAACTTAGGCAACTTATTGGTTGCACTTGTGCGAAGGTTATATGCATGGTACAATTAACTGACACTAGGTGGAGTGCGTATAATAGTGACTATTTATTTGAAAGTTATAGAAAGTTATATATCATTCTATTTCAATGATTGTATTATCATTCCTAATTATACAATATAACTGTTCCACATTTTTAACGATATTTCCACAATAATTTCTTCTGCGGCAGCAATGCGCCGGGTACAAGCTAGCAATACAATATAAAAAAAAATAATTAAATAGTTATCAGTTATTTACAACGTGATTTTCGAAATTAAAATTCACCAATAGTCCAATAGTTTCTACAGCAAATAGCACAAATATGTACTCATACTATTACATGCCTGCAATTGAGAGATAATTAAATCTCTAGATCGCACTTACTAAAACCCCGTGGTGTTCTACCTCCGCCACAAATTGGCAGGGCCACGGAAACGCTTTCATGCACATGCGCGGCCTCTCCGACGCCAGGCGCCCAATGGCAGCCCCTCCTTAGTTGCTGACTTCTTCTCCCCGTTTTTAATCTCAGATGAGGCGCACCAGAAACACAAGCCACACTGCCCTTCGCGGCCTCTAACTCCACCTGCACTACGGACTCCCCGAGCCCGATATGTGAATGGAGCCAGAGCCTCACCAAAGTCGCGAAAGATAGTCGAGTGGCACATCGCCAATCGCCATACCAACACTCCTCTTCCCTTACTAATCCACTTCAACTACAGCGGTACAGGAAGAGGAATCTCCTTCCTCTAGCCGCAGCCCACTAACACACATCCAACGTGGCTCGACATCTTCTTGGCTATGGCCCTTGAGTTTGGTGGAAAATGAGGAAAGAAGAAATAAATAAACATTCTAAATAATAATCTAAAACTTTTATACTTACTGGTACTGGTACTACCAGAAAATATTGTCGGTATACTGCACTTTTTCAGAGTGGTGCAGTTCTCATGTCTAATAAAACAATCGTCTGTGAAATGTTTGGAACAAATATGATCATTATGTTTCGGACGCCAATTCACAATATTTATGCTTTTAAGCCATAATTTTATTCTAGGTTCAGTAGGAAACCTGTTAATTAATAAAAATTTGATAATCATCTGTTGTTGGTGACTTTGTTTGTTAACAGATATGGGTAGGAAAGAACATCGATATGTATTATAGACAAGGAACTCGACAACCCTATTTAATTTTATTGTTTATCAAAACTCAGTAATATACAGCCAAACATATTGGTATAAATGATATTAAATTTAGTAACAAATTTTAAGTACTTATATTATCAAATAGTTTTAATTTGTTTAATATTTGCTGCAAATTCACTTACTTGTGAAATGTTATACCACTTCCCTTTTGGTAACGAGTTTTACAGATTACGCAAACTCATTATTAATAAAAATAATTCTTATTATGTAACTAATATTGTACACAATCAAAAAACATAAAATACTTTCGTTTTTTAGTTTAAAATTTCAAAATACAGACTTATTAAATAATACAATATAAATAAGATAACAGACTTTGGCATATTAATTTATTTGGCAACCTGCGCCTTGTAAAGTTGCAGGTGGTGTACCGGCATGAAATACTGTCCCGCTCTGCTGAGCACGCCAAGATTTTTAGAGGCCGATTTGGCCTTCTCTTCCAAGTAACCACGAAACTGTACGTCACTCGATATGTCGACGCCGAGGACTCCGATACTGGCTGAGGCAATAAGGGGAGTGCCTTGAAACTGAGGAGATACGACAAAGGAGTTCTTTTTAGCGGTTAATGCGCAAGCTTGTGCCTTCTGGGGGTTAAACTGGACTAGATTTAGTCGCCCCCAATCCGAGACTTTATTCAGCAAAGACTCGAATTCAGACACAAGTTTGTCCCGGTACTCGGAGACGTTTTCCCGAAAGATATTGTCACGGCCGGTGTAAAGAGCATCACCAGTGCTGTCATCTGCATAGCAATGAGTGTTACGGGTTTGCAACATATCATTGATATGCAGAAAAAACAACGTTAGGGTTAGCACGCATCCTTGTGGAACACCGGCATTAATAGGCTTGTAATCGGAGCTTGCACCGTCTACAACGATCTTGATTCTCTGATCTACAGGAAAGATGGTGATCCAATCGCACAATTTCTCGGGAAGCCCATAGGAAGGGAGCTTCGAAAGGAGAGCTTTGTGCCAAATCCGATCTAAGGCCTTCGCAATGTCCAAACTAACGGTCAATGCCTCCCCCTTGGACTCTACTGCCTCCGTCCATCTGTGAGTTAGGTAGACCAGAAGATCACCAGCTGACCGACAACGGTGAAAACCGTATTGGCTATCACTAATCAGCTATGGATCCTCAAGGTACCTTATGAGCTGGCAGTTAACAATAGACTCCACTGTTTTGAAGAACAAGGAGTGATGTGATAGGCCAGTAGTGGGATGTGGTTTTTTAGGGATCGAGTGGACGAAAGCCGTCTTCCATGATTTTGGGACTACGCCTAGGGAGTGGAAGTACCAGAAAAGACGCGTTAAAACTGGTGCCATCTATGGAGCACACGTCCACAGTTGAGGGAATTCCGTCAGGCCCACTCGACTTGCGGATGTTCAGGGAGAGGAGTGCTTTGCGAACCGAGCGCTGTGTGAACTGCACTTCCGGCATGGAGCACTCACACCGTGGGTTGGCCGGCGGTGTACTCCCCTCGCTATCGAGACTCGAGTTGGACGCAAAGAAAGAGCCTAGCAGATCGGCTTTCTCCTTTGCGGTATGGCCCAGTGAGTCGTCCTCCCTGTGCATAGATGGAACAGATGGCTGACAGAAATTCCCCTGGACAGCCTTGGCGAGAGACCAGAATGCTCGGATTCCAGAAGGAAGGCGAACTAGTTTTTCGCCAATTCTGCCTATGTGCTCTGACTTTGCCTTGGCAATGACTCTTTTGAAGGACCTAGAGTCGGAATTATACTTCATTTTTAGAGCGCTGATGTTTACATCCCGAGACGTTGATGCGTCAGCTCAGGCTTGTTAGCACTCCTGCTTATAGCATGATGCTACATTACAGGAGCGACCAAACCATGGCTGAGATTTGCCTTCACTGGGCATCACAGAGGAAGGAATAAAAAGTTCCATACCCTGAAGTACCACATCAGCGACAGAATCCGCAACAACGTTGAGATCGTACGGCGAGAAGCAAACCCGCCCCCAAGGGTGGGATGCAAAGAAAGACCGCATCCCATCCCAATCGGCTGACCTATAGTGCCAAACACGGAGGCAGCCTGCAGAATGCAACTGTGATTTCAGCGTGAGTGGCAACACACTCTGGACAAGACAATGGTCCGAGGAGCCTAAAGGGGCGTCGACGGAAATCTGATATCCGTCCGGGTGAGAGGCTGGCAGATGGTCCAACAGAGAAGGTGCATGATTCTCCACATCTGGAATCCACGTAGGCGAAGTAAACAGTTGTGTCAGACCAAATGCCAAGGCAAAATCATGAACAGATCACCCTGCATGATCGGTTAAACATGAACCAAGCCATTCGGCGTGATAGGCGTTAAAGTCGCCGAAGATCACGATCTCTGCGGAGGGGATCTGCTGTAGAAACGAATCTGTAGCCATTTGGACGTGGTCGAAGAGTCGGTCTGTTTCGGCATTACCGCTATGGGACCTATAGAGGCACCCGAAGACGCGCGGATGGTCATCGCTGTCCACGCGGAGCCAAAGGATGGACAGGTCCGAACCTTCAAGTCTGCCGAGGCATCGATAACAGATGTCCTCTCTGACGCAAACGCAAACTCCAGCCCGAGGCACAAAGGAGTGTTCCAGTTTGTACCCCGGGTAGCAGAGATTTGAGACATCAGCCGGAGAGGACACCTGCATCTCGGTCAGAAAGAGCAGAGCAGGCCTCGTCGTCTCGAGATGGTAGTGGACGGCGTTTAGGTTAGAGTGAAGTCCCCTTATATTGCAGAAATGCACGGATAGCGTGGCAGGGGTTGCCTTGGTCTTGTTGCTCCGTTTGCCCCGAGCAGTTGTAGTCTTGAGCGGAATTTTGCCCGTCGCCCCAGAATACGCGGGGCAGCCTGAGCTCCCAAGCTCAGGGGTGGAGAAACGTGATCGTGGATGCTAAGCGAGGGATTCTTCATGGTTTCTGGTACCCTCCTGGGGTAGTCTATCATCATTTAATTCCGCTACCATGTTGATGGGGGGGGGGGAATTTGGGCCTCCGGCCACCTGCACTCACTAGACGAAACGCGGAAGCAGAGCTTCCACTTCACGCTGGTTTTCTGTAAGGTCGTGTTACCACCCCCGGTTTGAGCCAGCCCATATGTGCAACAGCAAAGCTGGCGCGTGGCTTTACCACTGTTAAAAAGAAAACGCAGAAAAGCAATTTTTCGTCATTAAAAACTTAGAATCCATTTTTTTAAATTCATTATGAAAGTTAAGAAAAATTCTTAGTGAATTATGTTGGCGAAAACACGATTGACACATTTTGGCTTGACAGATACAGATCGCAAAGTTTCTTTAAAATCTACAATTTTAGGTACGTCTACTAAGTGAAAAAGCTGTTTCATTGGAATATAATGAAATCAATTTCAATTAAGTAAATTCAGGCTATGTGCTCACCAAAAAATATTAAAAAGAAATATGAAATAAATATTGTGCGATTAAATAGCGCGCGGGCCGATCAAACAGTCCATATAAAGCGTGTAAAATCTGCTTTTTGCGCCCACTTCACCTTAACTCTGTGATAAACTCTTTATTCTTTATTTATTCTCGTATTTTATACGTAGTAGAGCCATGCTGCAGTTATATTAGTAGTATAGTTGTAGCAACAATGTTTCGGCTCGACTGCGGAAAGACCACGCTCTCACAGAATACTAGCGTAAAATAGTCGTTTAGTATTGTGAGTGTAGAGAACCGGAGACCTTTTTTACTTTACGAGTGACAACGCACCTGCATTTTGATTTGCAATCGAGGATATATGTAGAGGTCTATGGGCCGCAGCAACCACTTACAATCAGGTGAACTGTGTGCTCGTTTATCACCCTATCCTATAAAAAAACTACCTACACGTGGAAGAACAATGCTGCAGCTATATTATGGTCGTAGAATGATTGGGTCGAATCGACCGGGGAAGGACCGCGCACTTACAGAATACCAGCGTAAAATAGCGTTTCGTGTGGTAAGTGTAGACAACCGGAGACTCTATTTACTGGTAACGAGGCAGTTCTCAGGGGTGGCAACGCATCTGCATTTTGATTTTTCATCGAGTATAATATATATAGCTGTCCATAGACACAGCATGCACTTACCAGGTGGACTTTGTGGTCGTTTGTCACCCCTATTCTATAACCAAAAAAAATCTCTCGAATAACTAACTTGCCTTGTAAAAAAGCTGAATATGAAATAAAATGATTAATAATGGTTTAATTATTTTTGGATTGACATTATTATGTTTTCACATTTCTCTGTATTTGTTTTAGTAGTAAAATACATAGTGATATAGTGTCACCAAACGACGACAAACTCTAAGAGGATTTATATTTATTTTTCAACTGTTCTCATTTGGAGACATTCATGACTTGCTCGCGTTCAAAATATGTCAGTTCATGAATAAATCCTTTACACTGAATAAGGCTATTTATTTTAGAAAGTCTCGTTTTGTTGTTTGTTGTTTTCAGGAAGAATACGTTTTGTTTTACGTTAAGCTTTTTCTTTAATTTAGTTTGGTACAATATTGAGGAAAACGGGTAACATAAAATTCAATACGTATTTTTTTATTAAAATGAAGTAACACATAAACTTACAGTCCACTTGATGGTAAGTGGCTACTACAGTCTATGGCCACCTGCAGATAACTTAAGAGGCTTCAGATGCGTTGTCACCTCTGAAGACTAAGATGGAATGCCTCAATCTTTTCTATACTAAATCTTTTTAAACTTTATACCAGAACATAACAGTGCAAACACTTCTATTCGGAGACAGAAATATGCAAGAGCCGACTTTCTTGAGAGTCTGAAACTGGACTCCTAATCAGAAGTGGAGTCCAACCACCAAGTAATAATGCATATAACAAGTAATTTGAGGCTATGAATTAATTTAAAAATTATAACTACAGGAACAGAAACTTTTTTATACAATATCGATTATAAGTAATAGTTATTGAAAATAACTTTTTTATTTACCACTGTTTTGGAAAAAAAACCTCTGTCCTGGGAAGAACCAGCAAGAAAACTAGCGGGACTTTTAAAAAAACCGCTTACAATCGTGTATGTTAAAGTTAACAACACATAACAAATCAGGAATAGCTTAGTAGCGATCACCCTTCCCAGGGGTTATTATCGCCCATTAATTCCTTAATATTTTAATTACCATTTTTATACAAACTCAGTTTTTGAACTATGTGCAGGTCAAATTTTGTATGTTTTCTGGAATTTTGGTGTAAAAGCGTAAACATCGCCCTAAGAATGAATTAATGACTCTGTACTGCTAGCTTGTGTCTGACAAATTGAGACAACTAATTCTCAGACTGATTTATGAATATACAAAAAATTGACGACATTATTATCCCCTGCTTTCTCCACATATTACAACGTATTTATTTTGTTTATTAAGTTTAACAAAAACTTCCTCCATAATTTTTTCAAAAGTATCGTTTATATAGAACATGCCATTTCTGCAGTTCGCTGAACAGAGAGGCTCACAATATCTTTACGTTCTTTACATGATAATAATTTACTAGTTAAAATTAAGGAGCCAACTCTTAAAACCGTTTCTCTATTGAAAGAACTGACCACCTGGTGATTACTGAAGTTAAACACAATGTTATTATCTTTGTGTGCAGTAATACATAAAATATGAATATTGTTGCTATTTAAGAACAATTCAATTTCTAGCTTTTTCCAGTTTTTGCCAGCAGTTATAATAATTTAAGTAATTTGGGGTTTACTAAATTACTTAAATTATTATAACTGCTAGAGATTACCTCTATTGTCTCAATTTCTAATTAAAATTACTTAAAACGGATTCCAAATTGCATGCCAAAATTTTGCTGCTCAATAGAAGCAGATGTCTGCGTCCAAGTCCTTGGCTGAGTCAATATATAAATAATAATATAGCATATTTGCTATCTGTCTTAAATATATTTGGATAGGTAATAACTATCTGTGGTGAAAAATTTCATAATTAAATGTCTATTAAATTAATTCTTTTATAATCGTTACAATTAAATGTCAAATTTAAATTATTGTTATATGACAAATTATTTATAAATTTAAATCGTATGGTATTTCATTTTCCCAAAGCTTAAGAGAATCTATTATTCCATATCATTCCGTGAGTACCTTAAAGGGAGACAGAAGAAAATAAGCCAGAAGATGAGCAGTAGCATCTTACAGATAACAACTCAACATCAATAAAAATGCGGCTGCCAACCCACCCTATCTAATATCCCGTAAAACAGTGGACTTTTAGTAACCTGTAATGAAGACAATTGGTGATTATAACTTATACCCTAAATAAGAAACAATCTGATTTTTATTATTGTGAGTAATGAAAAAGAAGTAATGAAGTAATGAAAAAATTAAATGCAATATTACTCTAGTTTGAACGCAATTATATTTAAGTTTTTGTATTAAAAATTTTCACTGCTCAAGGTAGGTTAGTGAGCTATGGAGACGGCTATGCTCGAGGTACCTGTGCGTCATAAACTTAGAAATGGGGATATCCGCAGTAGAACCAAGACTAACTGCCATAGCCAAGAGGATTAGTAAGCTGTAATGGCATTGGGCTGGTCATGTAGCTCGAAGAACTGACAACCGATGGTGAAGAAATGTTCCCGAGTGGCAGCCTTGTACCAGTAGTCTATGTGTGGGGTGGCCTCCCACTAGATGGAGTGACTACCTGGTAGGTCATGTAGGTAGTCGAAGGACGCAGGTGGATCAGTACTGTGCTTTGTGGCATTCCTTGGGGGAGGCATATGTTCAGCTACTATAAACCACAGCCCTTTTATACATTCTAAAACCTTAACTTGAATTTTTATTTTAGACGCTATAGCGACTTTACAACAGAGAAACTCCAGAAAGCTCTTTTAGCATAATGTTACGAGCTTGAGGTTCGTGACAATAAAAATTGCCGATAAAATTACCTAAATTAACACTTTAATTTACTTTACACAAATTAAAACTAAAAACACTAATAATTAAACACACTAATTCACTTAATTCCGCTCCGAAGCTTCGCTTGTCTCGCCAAATCAACACTGCTTCGATCACATCTTGCAACGCCTACTTATATAAATTAGCAAAATATCCAGCATGTTCAAGTAAATACGCGCAAGGTACCGAGAGTTCGAGTTTTAAACTTCAAGAAGTTTAGTTCTTCGGTTCGAGACTAGATGGCGCTAGTGCGCCGATTTGAGGCATTGGAGCGCTTAACACTGCCCCCTCCTAAGACATGCTCGTCCCGAGCATTATCGGTCCCATAATAACGCGCTAGGCGATCCACATGGACGATCTTAGGAGTCCCTCTTGCGCCTTTCTGTATCCGGTAGGTTACATCGTTGATCCTGGTCACAATCCGGTACGGGCCGTCCCATTTAGCTTGAAGCTTAGGAGATTTCCCTTTGCTGCGGACTGGATTGTGCAACCACACAAGTGAACCTTCGTCGAACCCTTTGTTGTTCATTTTGCGGTCATACCGAGTTTTCATCTTTTCAGACATTTGCTGGCCCGATTGTCTGACGTGCTCATAAACGTCATTCATTTTGTTCCGCAAGTCATTCGCATAATCGGTTATACTGCGTGGAGCATCAGGTGGTATCCCGGTGATCAGGTCTGCAGGCAGCCGTAATTCTCTTCCAAAGTTTGCGAAAGCTGGTG